CCTCCACAAATTCGTGACGTGTTTTCTAAAAGTTTAAACTGTTTTAACTTTGCATGTACATCTCTTGTGTGAGACGCGAGTGCAGCAGTCATATTTGTCCGTCTAAAAAATGCGCTGAATATGCATCTGTGTGAATGGCTTGGTTTCGGTTTTAACCTAATCAAGATCTTCTCTGCATTGAGCTTCTATATTTCTCTAATATTTTGAATGAATAACGCAGCAACTGCGCATCTCGTGGGCTAGACTAACAAAACATTAAACTACAACATCATCACCGCATCTCACGCGCCACTGATGACGCTCCCTGATGCACACCTAACATTCAAATGCAAATGTTTATTTTAAATTTGACTAATATTCATTCTTTATTCACAATCTCCTCATCACAGGCAGGCACAGCACTCATTTCAGCATGTGTTCGTGTTTGTGTGTGCTGTCTGCGTCACTCATAGCACGTGCCTATATCGTGCTATATCGAACATTTTTTTCTATCGTTATCGAAGAAGGTGTACCGTCGATAAATATCGATACCATTTTATCTCCCAGGCCTAGTCCTGCCCTTCATTTTTTTCTCATTCAAGAAACCGTTTCTTGGATATACGTCACAATAGAGAAGAAAAAGGTGATCACAATTTCCAATTAAGGCCAACTCTAAACCTTTGCTATATAAAATAATAAAGCTAAACACAAGTTAAAAAAAAATCAAGATGAGTTCTCAGTAGGTGAATAATTAGTCAAAATCCTTACCTATCTCATACTCAAGTCAGTTTTGTGTGTGCGTGTGTGTGTTTAAGTGAGAAAGCGGGAGTTTTTTTGCAGGGACTTTGTTTTGTCCTTCCTCTCACAGGAAGTTTTCTGCAGGTCAGAAGTGATTCACTCAAATGTCTCTTCCTCTTTGTCCCTGACGAGAGTGATCTTGTGTTTCAGGATGATGAACAAGTCATTTATGTTGTTTCTCAGAGGTTGAGTGAGTGAATGAGTGTAAGAATGAAAGCTCAAGGTTTCTTTGTGTTGTTTTGCAGGAGTTTGTGGCTGGACGGCAGCTGACGGACTGAACCATGGCTCAGTTTCCCACGCCCTTCGGAGGTGAGTGGATGTTTTCACTGACTGACTGACGCGTGCGTGTTTGTGTGATGGAGGCTGGGTGGATGTGTATGGAGTACTCTGTGTGTTTGAGAGAGAGAGAGGCAGAGAGAATTAATTCAAGTGAGTCAGTGAATGTCTAAAAGGATCAATGAATAGAAGAGAAATGCCCTCACAGAACTGCCGTTTGCAAGCTTATGTGTGTTTAATTTTCTGTTTTCACTTACAATTTAATGTGGCATATTTATATACAGTGGGATTTAAAAGTTGCTTTGCATTTTGGAATATAAGATTTTTATTGTGATATTATCTAGAATTTCAACAACTGATTGATAATCATTGATCATTTTCCATAATAAGATGAATAACCTAGTATAGTATAAGTGTAATATAGTTACTATGTTGTTCACATGAGTAAATATGTTCCTCATACAAGTTAACATTTAGTCTGTGATTTCTTTGAATTTAATGTTTAATTCAGTCATTTTAACTTCTTTTAAAATGGTAAGCAATCAAATATTTTATTTTTTGTTTTAGAATGCAATATTTATATTTGAATACATATATATGTATACTATTGTATAGCGCATATTAGTGTTGTCACGGTACCAAAATTTCAGTATTCGATACCAATACCAGTGAAAATCCACGGTTCTCGGTACCAATTTCGGTACCAAAGCAAAACACAAAAACATGCTAATTGAACAACATTGTTATAAATAACGTTAAACAAAAATTAAATGTACAAAACCAATGCTACCCACTGTATATAGCCTAGATTTGTTTTCATAGCCTTCACATTGCACATTGGGCAGGAGGTGGAATAAAACATTTTTGTAAATAATGGATTAAGCAGTTTTAAAATAAAAATGATTATTTTTGACCAATTTTTAGTTAGATTTTTTTTTTTATCTTTCTGATTAATTAGGTTATTAATTGTATCAACACAACAGTTTGACTGTTGCATATTTCTAAGTGATGTTTTTACGCAGTCAAACGTCAGTAAGAGTTGATTTATCTGTAGATGTGATCTGTCTGTTTGATAAAAATGTTAGCAGGTTAAACACATTAAAGCGTTATGCTGCTGTTTGTCTGATATCTTCTCTCTCTTTCTCTCTGTAGGGGGGTCGGATACATGGGTAATATCTGTGGACGAGAGAGCCAAACATGACCAGCAGTTCCACAGTTTGACCCCCACACCTGCTGGCTTCATCACAGGTAATCACCTCTGGTTTTCTTGCTGTGAGAAAAGTACAGAACGCTCATTAGTGCTGATGTTTGCTAAAACCCTTTGGAGTTTGATGTTGTCTGAAATGCAAGAACAAATCCCTTGAGTTCTGTGCAACTGAAAATGACCACCCGCAGTGCTGTCAGTCATACATCTCTGGTAGTCAGACATTTTTATGCCTATTATTTCTCTGTTGGATACACAGACACAGAGAGACGGAGCAAATGAAGTGAAAACTGAAAAACAAAAGCCGCCGCCTCTTTCCCACCATTCTGTTTTTTAAACACATCCCCCATGCTAATAAAAATGCCATGGATATTCTTCATGACAGTTTATTTAAACCATACCACCCTGTAAATGGGTGGATGATGCTTGCGTTATCTTCGATCAGATTCGCAACTGTCTTAAAGTACTATAAGAAACAGTCTGAGAAGTGTTAATGTAAATCTCAGCACCTCCACCGAAACAGATGAACTCTGGCTTTGCCTCTGACACGCATTAAAACCGTTCCACGTTTACATTGGTCAGAAGAACAACCATCTAAAGCTTGTGTAAAGGTTTGCGCAATGCAGATGTTTTAGAGTTAAAATTCTGATTCGCTGGAAACGTTGTGAACATTTCAGTTGTGAGTTGACAGTGTGTGATGTTAACAGAATCACTGAGAAAGATACAGAGAAGGAAACCGATCAGGGTGTGGTATGTTGATTTCCATGTGACTCGTCTAGAAAAGGTCATTTCTCTGTCATCTTTTGCTGATGCTGTTTGTTTCTAATCTCTAGTTGAAGCTTTGACATGTTTGTTCCTGTTATAGAACGCCATCTTTCTCCCTGGACTCTCTTTGGAGACATTTTGCCAGTCTGAAGAAGATTCTGAAACTTTTCATACATTACATTGAAAGAAATGCTCAAAGTACACACATTTCATGATCTCATTCTGCAATCATAGATACAGTAGATGTGAAATTAACCTCCAAAGGGCTAATCAAAATCACAAGATGCAAACAGTAAAACCAGCTTGTCCCAGCTGGACTTTGGACATCTACTGAAGAGATGGTACTTATGGGTTTCCTGTTGACCAGTGGATCTGAAAGAGCCTCTTTGTGTTGACTGAAGGACGGCTGAAGCAGTGACTGGCCCACAGTCAGGCAGGCATGGGGAGGGAGTCTGTTTTCGGCTCTGAGTATATAAAGGCGTTCTGTGTGTGTGTGCAGAGGAAGACACCTGTTATCGAGAGGAAACGTGTTTAAAGGAAGGTGAAAAGGTCATTTTTGCTTTGGCAGAGGCACAAACTCACATCTCCCATTGTTTTTTGCATTGGTTGGTAGGTTGTAAAAGGGTTGGTTCAGGTTATCTGGCCTGCTGTGGCATTATTAGTTGACACTGGTATAAGATTGTCAATATTAGACATCATTTAGTCGCCCAGAGTGAAGATTTAGTCACATATGCGATTGATTTACTCGCAATGTAGAGGGTTGTCGTATAATAAACCATTATAGGCAATGTTAAAAAAAGAAAGAAAACTGTAGTTGGCTGCTTTACACGCTTTTTTGTGTTTAGCAGTATAGGCTGTCATAGGAGCAGGAAATCGGTTTGATAGGTTAGATAACATATGAGCACACTGACTCAGCTTTCCTTTCTTGCTCAAGCTGTAGCCGGCAGATCACTCGCCCCAGAGGCCAGTGTCACTCAAGTGCAGTCAATAAACCCTCTGCATGTTTGTTGACAAGATGGTTTAAATGGAGTTACGTAACTCTTAATTATGTTATCAATGTTTGATTAGCATACTAAAACAATTACATCATTTTAATGTCATAAAATTCTTTGAAGACCACATTCATTTAAGTTGTGGGGACAAAACCTTTCTATTTTGTTCGTTTATACCATACAGTATGTTTATTTATATATTTACTCAATATTTATATAAATTTTTTTCCCTTTCTCTCTCTCTCTTTAGGTGACCAGGCAAGGAATTTCTTTCTGCAGTCAGGTTTACCTGCCCCCATCCTCGCCCAGATATGGTACACAATTCCTATAACACATATTCATTTATAATCAAGTGCACTACTTTCATAATCCAATATGTGCTTTTGTTCAATAATTACTGTACATTGTAAAAAATATTCCATTGCATTTACAGTAAAACACTTGCAGCTGTTGTTGCCAGAAATTCATTGCACAAAATGCTTATGACAGTGTTTCCAGTATTGCCAGATGGCTGTATATTTTACAATTTATAACTATATGTTTCATTAAATAATATAAAGTTAATATGCCAGTTTACTGCCAAAATCTGCTTTTTACCTTGTAACTTGTACTGATAACCACTATAACAATACAGGTACAATAGAAAACCACATTATGAATCAGAAGTGTACTGTCCATAAGGCATGGCCATTATTGGTAGATGGACCACAGGGTCATACACACACAAAAAACACTGTTAGGGTAAGACACATGACACTAAAATAATTCAGTAAACATTTACATAAGATAAAATTTAACACAAAACACCTTGATGTACATTACTGATAACAAAAATAAGAACATTATTATATGTGATGTCACGCGGGGCCTCTGAGAATGTCATTTTTACAGTAAATTATATGGAAGTTCATTGTTTTTACTTCCTAAAACCATCGATTAACCATGAAATATACATTTACAGTTAACTAATTACTGTAGCATTTTTACATTGTTTTTCTGTACAAATTAATCCTTTTTTTTAAGTTTTAAATTGTCCAGGCTACTGTGTCTATGAAAACCGATTGTGTAGCAAGTTGCAAATCCTGAATGATATGGATGATGAAGTTAACATGTTGTCTGTCACTGAACAAGATACTCTGTTTATGTTTTGCAGGGCCCTGGCCGACATGAACAACGATGGGAAGATGGACATACATGAATTTTCCATCGCAATGAAGCTGATTAAATTGAAGCTGCAGGGTCACCCCCTCCCTCCTTCACTGCCCCCCTCCATGAAGCAGCCACCCCTCTCCATTCCCCCACAGCCGCCTTTTGGTAAGAAATGGCTGATGGCTTGAATGACATGTTTTTGTTTTCTTTCTGATGGCTTGAATGACATGTAACATATCAGGACACAGATGAAGTCTCAGTCATTAGACTAGTGCTTTTCAACTGTTTTGACTCGAATGACCCACCTTTGTCCAGCACAATTATTCAAAAGCCCCTCTTATTAGCTAAAATATTTCCTCTGGTATTTCGGGTGTAATTTTGAAAGGTGCTTGTTTTAAAAAAAAATTATTAACTGAAAGTAGAAATGTTGAGAGCCACTGATTTAGACTAGACAGCAGTGTTTTTAGACCAGGACTATATTAGAAAAGATTGTATATTAAATGCTTTATTCTAGATCTACAGAAGACCACTCTTCTCTTGTTCAGGACTTGATTGTGTTAAGATTGTAGTTCAGTCAGTTCCCTCAGAGATTTAGAGTACCTTATAGAATGTTATGTTATAATTAAATTAAATTAGCAATGCATCAACCATACCTTCCAATCATTTATTTATATATAAAAAAAATTGGCATTAATTATTATTAAGTAATTAAATTAATTAATTATTTCATTTATTTCCTTCATCAGGGATGCCCAGTATCGGGGCAATGCCAGGCCTGCCAGCAGTGCCGCCCATGCCCCTGCCCCCTCTGCCTCCAGGAGTGCCAGGAGTAGGTGTGTCTCCACCTCTGGTAGCATCAGTAACCCCAGCTGTACCATCGCTTGCTAACGGAGCACCCGCTATGATACAACCCATGAGTGGATTCTCGCATCCAGGTAATGTAAACAAACACTCACACTACCTAGACCAGCTTATACAGTTTGTTTACTTTGGCAGGATAATTTATGGGTGTTTGTCTCTGTCTCTCAGCTGCTGCGCTCAACAAAACCCCTTCGTTCAATCGTTCCAGTATCAAGCTACAGAAGGGCCAGTCAGTTGAGGCACCCAGGTACACAAACACACACATTTACACTGTATTCACTAGGGTTGGGTATCGAAAACCGGTTCCATTTTATCATTAATGTTAATCAAAGAACAAAAGAAAATCATTCACTGATCTTGACTGAATATATTTAATAACTTTAATTGATTAATCTATATTTTATTTATGAAAAGAAAACTATGCAGTGTTTTTAAACTTTTAATTACAGTTTCTGTACCTGAAATTTTGTTCAGTTGTATTTATTTATGATATTTCTAATTGATTTGTTTGTTCCTATCTTATTACTGACTGTTTACTTGTCTTTAACACTTTAATATTTGAAATTTATATTAATCTAGTTGTTTTTGCTGTGGTATTTTTTTTTAAAGCATAGGCAAAACTCCTCTTGCAGTGTTCTGTAGGCTGCTGATTTTTGCTCGTGTTTTTCAGCTGCAACAGAATGCTTTGTAAAAAGACAGAATAAATGTTTGACATCTAAATGTTTGACTTAATTTTTTTTTATGTTGGATTTTTTATCTTATTGGAATCGAAACTAGGAATCGATAAGAATCGGAATCGATAAGCAGAATCGGAATCGGAATCGATAAAATTCAAACGATACCCAACCCTAGTATTCACAGAAATTGTATAGATGTTAAAAGCACATATTATGAATTTACCTTTCCTTTAGCGTGTAATATAGCTGTTTGTGCATTTAAGCAATCTGCAGAAAACACTTGCCTGAAATGCCTTGTTTGTAGTCCTGCCATTATTTCCATCATTTTGCGACATCAAAAAGGAACTAAAACAGAGTGTTTCAGCTGAAAAGAGATGCTGAACCAATGTACCATTGGAGGAAAAAAAATGTTTTTTTGAACTGTAGATCATGTTAATGTACTCGTTCGCATTATGATGTGATTTAAAACGATTTAAGTGCAGGAACGGAAAGAACTTAGAATGTAAACAGATGAGAAAGAAAACACGTGTACAGTATTTTTAGATCTGCATGCGTTTGGTGTTAAAGTGACAGCAGCCTAATAAATGCGCTGCCTGTCATTAATGTTAATCAAAGAACAAAAAAATAATTCACTGATCTTGACTGAATGTCTTTAATAACTTTAATCATTTATATTTTATTTATGAAAAAAATATGCAGTGTTTTTAAACTTTTAAATACAGTTTCTGTACCTGAAATTTGGTTCAGTTGTATTTATGCTATTGCTAATTGATTTGTTTATTCCTATTTTATTACTGACTGTTTACTTGTCTTTAACACTTTAATATTTGAAATTTATATTTGTCTAGCTATTTTTGCTGTCTTTGTAAAAAGACAGAATAAATGTTTGACATCTAAATGTTTGACTTAATTTTTTTTATATTGGATTTTTTGTCTTATTGGAATCGAAACTAGGAATCGATAAGAATCGGAATCGATAAAATTCAAACGATACCCAACCTTACCCAAAAATAAAATAATGAACATGTAAATGAGCATAATGGAGCCACTTTAACACACACATTGTCTCTTTAGTGCTCCGGCTGCTCCTCCACCCATTGACTGGGCCGTGCCTCAGTCCTCTCGGCTCAAATACCGCCAACTCTTCAACAGCCATGACAAAATGATGAGTGGTTATCTCACAGGTATGGTGTCCATCACACAAAGCATGACACATAATAATCATCATGCGGTGAAACACTTTGTATTTTGTTTTGTTGTTCAGCTAATTTAAATCTCAAATTTAATTGCTGCATAGCTGTAGATTTTAACAAGGTTATTATTAGTTTTGTATTTTAAAATTTGATTTAATACTATTTTCATAATGCATATGCCACCATTCACATTTTCTGTGTAATAATCTAGTTTTTAATTCAATGCATTTGCGGAGCTCAAAGCTCATGTGATAAGTGACAGTGGTTACTCAGTACAGCTTAGAGGAAGCAGAGGTTGCTGACTCAACATACTCAACTCTTTCTTTCACTTCTCTTTCCCCTCTCTCGCTTTCTCTTTCTTTTCTGCTTCAGGTCCACAAGCCAGAACTATTCTAATGCAGTCCAGTCTACCGCAGGCCCAGCTGGCCACCATCTGGTGCAGATCCAACACATTTTTCTTATTGTGTCTCTGTCTCGCATTTAAAACTCAAACAAATCTCAGAGTTCAGAGATCTGTATCAGCGTAAACATGAGGATTGGTATCTGGTTATTGTTATAAGTACATCCGACTGGTGTTTTGATTTCTTTTAACATGCTGTTCTTGGGATTTTTGTATTGCCTATGGTCCTGTTTACACTTGATGTTAACATCGGATCTTGGGTGATCAGGTGTCATGTGGAAAGGCAGGATAAATAGCTGTTTTGTCTCCATAAAACATCCACTGTTTATCTATATAGGAACCTGTCCGATATAGACCAGGACGGAAAGTTGACTGCAGAAGAGTTTATTCTGGCCATGCACTTAATTGACATGGCAATGTCCGGTCTGCCTCTTCCCCCATTGCTGCCCCCTGACCTCATACCTCCAACATTCAGGTGAGTGACCCCACTGATGGCCCACAACTGTATTTTGTCAATTATCAGCTTTCACGCCTTAGAATAGTCTGCCAAGTTAGTTAAAAGTTAGACTTAAGAGAACTTTTATTCTAACAATCCAAATGGTTACAACTATAGGACTTAATTCTTTCCTGTTTGTTTAGGAGAATGCGTTCTGGTAGTGGAGTGTCTGTGACCAGTATGCACTCGACAGATCTACGGTCTCAGGATGAGCCCGAGGAGGAGGAAAAAGAGGCAGAGAAAAAACTTGCAGGTCAGAGGACAAGAGTAAATCCTAATTAGTTTCATAAAGGAAACTCAGCTTACTCACTTATAAAATATTTGTGGCCTATAGACAAGAAAAAAGCCCTCTTGGCACCTGGCATTAATGCATTTTGTATCTGGACAGTCTTTAAAGGGGTCATATGATGCGATTTCAATTTTTCCTTTCTCTTTGGAGTGTTACAAGCTCTTGGTGCATGAAGAAGATCTGTAAAGTTGCTAAGACTAAAGTCTCAAATCCAAAGAGATATTCTTTATAAAAGTTAAGAGTCAACCACGCCTACCTAAAACGGCTCGTTCTAACACGCCCCCACATATCTACGTCACGATCTGGGAAGATTTGCATAACGCCGCCCAAATGTTCACGCAAAGAAAGAAGGCGTAACTTTTATTCTCGCTGTAGTATTGTTGTTGCCGCCACCGCCATGCCGTGAAGGCGCTGTGTTTCGTTGTGAAAGCGAAACTACTTTGGTTGGCCTTCCAAAAGAGGACGATATCCGCTTCGCCATGCCTGGAGCTGATCCGTGCTGGTCGCTGAGGAAATACATCAACTTCACGCTGTCGATCTCCG